TCCGTATTAGTGCAGTTTCTTCAATTACGCGAAACTCACGTAAACGTTGCAACAAGAAGATTTAGCATCAGAAGTTGCGTCAGCAGTATGAAGGAGCTTAGACTGACGATGGATAATTTCCTTGACGAAAATTGTGGACATAAATTGTCATCTCTGCATCCGCTATCTACAAAGCAATAATTACAAAAAAAACGATCTACACGACTGTCGGAGCGTTAATAGCCATTGTGAATGCAAGGGTATAATTTCTATATTTATACTATGAAGAGCGACATATGTAATGTTCTTATCGAATCTACCATTTAACAAAACAATAAAGCAGCTATGTCGAATGGTTGTTCCAAGATGTATCCATGCTCGCAGATTGGCATTGGGACCCATGTTATGCTCTCACTTTTACCGTGTAGTCATGGTAGGGTGATCGGAGCCAAAATAACTGACTCATTTTATCATAAGCCAAATGGTTAATATCAAACTGTACTACAGCAGGACTTTGAAGATCGTTTGACCTAGATGATTTCGCGTTTCAACTCCATGGCGTTGTTTACAACCCACAATACGGAAGCATAATACCGATTAAAATATTTTAAAAGCAAGCATTCTGTGATACTGTCAAGAATGAATAGGTGGAAGGCTTCTCTATTGACTAAAAAATTCGAAAGTTTGTTTTAGTTTTCCTTCGGACAGTCAACTGACCTTCACCCTCAAGAATATCCAATCCGAAGTTGCCTAGCATTTGAAAATAGGCTGTCATAAAGAACTCATAAACGATTTTTCCTGCAGTCATACGTTTCATCGTCATATTCGGTACTAAATTGCAATGAACATGAGTTAGTGGGTAAATAAGGAAGTAGGTGATTGCCTGTTAAAAAACTTACATAGTGTCTCCTGGGAATAGTGAGTGTAATAGCCATTAGGATAAGAAATAGCAAAGGACGATACACCGTACCCGGCCTGAATCACTACTAAGAGTAGCAAAAACGGCAGAAGATCGTTTACTACCTAAAGTAAATAAATGTGTAGCTTTAAGCGCTGATAGGCCTCAATTAGTAAAAGTGAAACAAAATTATGCAATTACATATAGTTAGGATAAAGTTGGTAGTCAATTTTGACGTGTCGCCGTTGGAAAAGGAGATCGTGCTTCATACCTCCCTATTAAATCATCTGAAGCTTACGAAGTCGTTTAAATAGAAGCCCTTATAATATAAGTCGTTCAAACCGAGTAGCTTCCAGTTCTTAATGATAACTCGATGTATGATTTGTTGGTAATGTTGAACAATAAACCAAACTACACTCACCATACGATTGATCATGATAAGTTTTGGACCAAGAACAATGCTAAAACTGAAGATGTACATCAGGCGGACGAAAAAGGCAAAGAGGCTGAGAGCAAACATGATGCGAGCGAGGGTGAATCGCTCTTCGACGAGGAGGAAGTAGGGATGGTCAACGGTCAGCTCTTCCGCACACCTGTTGATCCAGTCAACCGAAACCGAGGGCGGCGACCGAGGAAATAGCCGAGTTGTTTGCTCTACCGCCCTCGAATTAGAGTCCCAGTAGATCAGACCCCTCAAATTTTCACGAAAGCCCTAGACGTAGAGTGAAATATGAAAACGCTTTCACACAGCATTTATATGGCATGTCTAGGAAAGAACTCACTGGCGAGCAGGTCACATTGCCTCGATTGGCCTGTCTTTTGGCTTCCACAATGTCAACGTTGCGTATGTGCAAGTAAGCCAAAGTGCGGAGCACGAACCCACCGAGATAAAGGGCAATAGCGGCACAGTCAAGCTTGTTCCATCCATCGCTCAAATATTCCTTCAAACTGGCACCAGGACCGAATGCCTCGGAAAATAAAACAGTCTACTAGATCGCTGTCATAAGGTCTCAATTCAGTTTTAATTCTGGTAAAATCACTTTTGATAGGGAGAATCCATTTCTGAACTCTTTTGTTGTCTCTGAGCACCATTTTTGAGTTATATATCAACTATATCACAAGACTTATTATGTTCTTACTTGCTTTAGTTCTTCCAGCAACAAAGCCAAAACCATGGCAAAGATGAGGCCCTCTTGAACCGAGTAGGATATTCTTAGGTTTTGAAGAATCATGTTACTGAACAGAATTAGGAACGCAACGTAGAATATCTAAAGGGCAATGTTTAGATTAGGAAAAGTGGTAGTCAAATCAAATGCTTTCTTAGCTTTAGTTTCCGAGACATTTCAAAATTTTACAGTTGCTTTCCATCACTCCATTCAAGTGGTCTTATATTTATATGTGCAAGAAAACTGCCATATTTATAGTCTCAATTTCGTTGATGTGGTTGGTCCAATCGAACAGGTGAATATGTTTAGTGGACAAGGAGAATTCGGTTATAGTGTCGACAATATGGTAGGTTTGTACGCAACTGAGTGACGTTTGATAAATGAATGCATCGTACACGTATTGGAACTCACGGTATTGTAGAGGAATCGCGTGACAGGAGCATGATAGTAGTGTGTGATGTCCTTCATCTGTTGATTAAGCCTATGGAGAGTGAAAGTAAGAAGGTGGTGCTTGAAACGGTATACCAGTGTCGAGGCGCCTCCAACAGTGATGGTGGATGTTTATGCCTCCTCCTATCCTCCGGATGTTTGGGATGAACTGGAAACGCTGCATCGCCTTTACTGTCATCCGCAGTCTCAGTGTCACTCGAGCTGGACTATAGGCAAAAAAGCACAGCAGTGGAATGTTGAGTCTACTGCAGAAAAACATGTTTTAGGTTAAAAACTGTTTATTGCACTTGTATATCATAATACAAAAGGGATTCGGGTGATTGCACATACACAAGTCAAACACTCAAACTCTAATCCATTTGCGCCGTCTTCAAATAAATTACAGGAAGGGCAGGTTTACCTCGTTTATGCTCAAAGGTGAATTCTGCGTGTCGTTGCGCGAGTATGTCATTACTTGAGGAAGGATGAAAGGGAAGACCAAACCGAACACAGCACCGCATAGAAGCTAAAAAGGAGAAATAATGTACTTATGTGAGAAAATCGTGAACTCACAGCCAAAATTAGGCATCCAAAAAGGATGTTGTCTGAGTATGCAAGTGGTAAGGCTGGCAAGGTTAAGCTCAAGCAAAAAATAAAGGAAATTCGACGTTAAGGTAATGCTCCTAATTAGAAGGACTCAAATCAGGTTATAGATAGTTCAAATCCATAATAGTAATTAGTTCTAGCATTAACCATCACTCTATTCGATGTAAGCGTAATGAGTAGAGCTATCAAAATTTGAGCTTACAGCCCAACGTGATTGCGACAAGCAAATGACAATAACCTTGCGACAACAGCGATTTTAAAATCGACCTTTTAAGTACCTGTGTTCAAATGTAATTTCAAGAGAAAGGGAAGATGAGAGGAATTTGAGAAAAGGGAGAGCAGGCAGGAGATTACTTGAAAAGTAGTGGTTTTAGATGAGAGCTTGCCCATCCAAACTTCGGAAAGGAAGTCCTGGCAACAGGGGTGAGACATGAAATGTATGCATCCGCCCCGGGCTGCTAGACGAATCACTGCGCTGTGGCCGTATTCCTGCAACTTGCGGTAGAGCAACATTCTCGCTCGCAGGTTATCTTCCGCGTAGCACGCCTCCAGCACCTCCTCTGCTTTGCTCTCAAATATCCTGAAACGGCGTACAGTGTACAGTCGGTGTTTTCCTTTGCAGTTAGTTGATTTAAGACTAGTCAGGAAATTTTCACATAAGAACTGAGCTAGTAAGACTAACAAGCATTACTTTGCTCGAAATGTCAAAAGGGCAGGAAACTAATTTCATTTGTTCGACGGCAGTGATTAACCGAATTATAATTACACAGTATGCACGCGTGTAAAGCAGATGGTGAGGAAATATCAAATGGTCTTGAGTTAGGATGGGCTGAAGAAGCTATAATAAAGCATTGTGGTGTGTTATTGTGGCCAACAGAAGGAGTACGAAATAAGAAATAGATAGTTGTAAACACAGATTCAAAAGTGTGCATGGAATAATGTTTCGAAAAAGCGATTTTCAAGCATTGAAAAAAAAAGAAAATGTGACCTTGCATAGCGTTCAAACTCCAATTTTTGGGATATGTCTGCGCATACAGCGGCGAGCTTGCTGAGAAGCAGGGTGCAAAACATGGCGCCACCGATCGGTTCCTGTAACGGGCATGCTTGTTCAGACCCTCGAAAATCTACTCGTTTTACTGTATTTTCGCATTTGAATGCACACAGTAAACACTAAGAAGGAAATGCTATCTTTGGAATAAACAAAAGTTAAAATTTGCCTTTTCATAACCCCAAAAGAGCACAGCGAGCTTCAATTTTCCGAGCAAAATGCACAGTAGCATCAACTCCTTGGCTGGGCGCTCGAGGCGAACCTTTTGCATTGCCGCAAAGCCTATTGATGGATTATAGTTGAGACGCAGAAATAAATGTATCCTAAAGGTTTTGGAATAGTTGTCTGACATCAAACGACTTACTGGCCAGTTTCTCGGGAACGCACTGCTCCATTCCTGAAAGTGTAAACTTGAGTTGAGATCTTTAATTTCCATCATGCTTCGTAGTAAACTATTAAAGGAGGGAGAGAGCACTGCATGATACTCACAAGGGCTAGACTCGAGGCATCAACAGCATATTTAGTTGTTTTGTTTCCTAGCCAGATTGAGATTTGTCAAACCTCAAAGATGCGGGTTCAATAGGGGTGGTATAGATCCTGTCTAGCCAATCCAAAAGGGGGGAGTGAGATTCAATCTCAGCATCACCTATATTCACATCCATTTACAAACAGTAAAGCATAGTCTAAAGTGATTCACATGCTGATCGAATGGAATGGACCAAAAACAAGTTAGTTTTGTCATAGCTGAAACTGATGGCCCTACGTTGGTTGTTGATGCCACGAATGCGTTCGTAGAGGGTTCGCTTATCCTGAGCTAGACGATGGCGCCGTTTGCGTTCACGCTCCTCTGCCTTCGCTGCCTCACGTCGGCGTGCCTCTGCGGAAATGAGGCGCGAGCGATCGGCGGCGGAGAGCTTCGAGAAGGTCATGCGGTGGTGGCCGCGATGTCGCCCTGCTAAACTCGACTTGCGTAGCGCTAACAACGTATCGTCCATAGAGGTCGTTGAGAGAGGGTCTGCAGTGCTTGACTGAAATTTGCCTTCCCTCTCTCTATCCATGTTTTTCTCCACCTTTACTGCTTTTTCATCCACCAGCATCTTGGATAACGGTGCATTTTTGGGCTCCGCTGACGCTAATGGGTGAACAAAGTGTTTCAAACGTAACTCATGGTGGTAATGCTGTTGTCTAAGTATATAGGAACGAACCTTTCTCGCTCAGGTCAGACAACTTCGATTCCGAGTGCTGAGACGCTATATCCATGTGACCTCTTAACCTTTTTCCAGAATCTTTGTACTTGTTATTGGATCGAGACGTCACATCGAAGTCTTCCCCCTCAAAAATCGGGGCCATTGACCAAATACTTTTGCTATTGGTGATCAGTTTCCTGTCACTGGTGTTGACGAAACGTCGAGCAGCCCCTCTGTAAGCATCACCATCACCTTAGTTATAAATAAAGGTGGTGTCAAGAGGATTGGCTTGAATGCTAACAGTCTCTTCCTTTATGGCATACGGTATATCCCAAGCATATGGTTGTGATGGAATGAAAAAATGGTTTGCCCCAACTCACCATATCGTCGCAACTGTACAGATGTGCGGTCATTTTCTAACGGAACGACAACCCCAACTCTTCTACATTTGCCTTTTCCTCGCACGCAAAACCCTGATGGTCTTTGCCTTGGAGACTGACAATTTACATTAATGTCAGAAGGGAAAATGGTAGTGCCATTCACAAGCTCTGTTGATGCTGGAGCCACCGTTGCCAACGGTAGTGGTGATGGTGGTGCCAATTTCACCGCTTGTGGATGCTTCCGGTGCTTATCAGGACGTGGACTTAGTGGTGCAAAGTACGAGCTCTTTTTGCTTATCCATGCTGGAAAGCAGACGATAAACTTGACCATTTTCTTCTTTTGTAAACAAAAGCGTCCTTTAAAAACTTAAAAATGGAATTACGAAAGCACAGAATTTAAAATAATTTGCTCGATTTTACAAACAACTTATTGCATTTATATCAAAGAGTAAATAAATGTGGCTGATTTTATCCGTGATGCTTAACAATCAAGTCGTTAACTAACTACACGATAAGCGTTAACAGATGCAGCAGAAAACACTACAGTTCCATCACCGTCGTTGAACTCACGGTTTTCAGTGATGGGTACCTCTTTTTCCTCTGCCTCTTGCCGAGCAATCGCCCTCTTGATCATTTTACGGAAGTGCTTGCTCAAGTAGTATGGGCGGTAGAACTCTCCAAGAAGGTGCTTGACCATACGCCCGATATCACGCAGCATTACCTAAAGCACAGCAACTTTTTAGTGTTTGGAAACCACCTAGAAAACACGCAGTAAGTAAGAGCCTACTCAAGTGATTAATCTGCCTTCGATGATACGCAACCATTCAGTGAGATAAAACGTTATTACATGGTAAACATTCAAGTGGGCGTTCATAAGTACACAGTAAAAAAGGCAAATCCACTGACGCTCGACTAGTAATTTTTTGCTCACCCATTCCATCTTATAAATGCGACATGTTTCCCATATTCGTCGCACTGTTTCGAGTTTTGAGTCCTAGGAATGAAAGTGTGCTGAAACAATTCCAAAATTATCCAGCTTAAAAGCGGTCTAGAATGTCCTTACTTTCTTCATTACTCCGGCTGTGTACAGCTTCTCCAAAGTATGGACAGTCAAGAAGGCCTCCAAATCAAACCCATTTTCCAGCAGCAAACTCACAAATGCCTCTTGGTCATTCAGTATGGCTTCAAACATAAAGCTATCCAATCCGTGCCGCTAGAATTTAGAATGACAATTAGAAATTGTCCAACCTTCCAATGGCGACCTTCCGTGAATATCTTTTCTTTGGCTATATCAGCCCGATTTAGACGAATAGTTACTTCCAACTGTTCTGTATTTAGTACACTCAATGGAGTCTCCAAGCCAGCTATAAGGAGGAAGTAAACGATAAAAATAGAAGCAGATACGATGTTTATGTCTAAGAAGGTTTTTTGAGAAATAACGCGCTCAAAATGGAATCCATAATTAGTCTTCTTTTGTGAAGTTGACGCATTCTTCCTCTGACAAAAATGACCACATATTGACGAGGACAAAAGTGGTTCTCATTCGGATCATGTTGCTAGTGGAACAGGGCTTATCGTGGATAATTATTTGAGCACTGAGTGTATTCTTTTACCAAGATATAAAAAACTTAATGCTACCAATAAACTTCGACAACTCCAAATGCATTTCCTTTTCATAGACACACATGAAAGCATTCATACTCGATTTACAAAGCACAAAACGCATTTAGCACATTCAGACGCATAAATGACCAACCGCTACTAAGGAGGGCCGAGATCACGTAGCCATCCATGTCGGTATCATCGCAGTCAAAAACAGACACGAGATGATTGAACTCTTCCACCATTTTGCGCAGGATCAACACCTCATCCATGTAGTCAGCTAGATTGAGTGTTGTGATTTCGGAAGGGTGATGCATCTGAGGACTGGGTAGTTTGAAAGAGACCCTTGAAGATCGACGCGAGGTCCGTGGACTTACATCAGCTCCATTAATTCGGTCATTCTTTACAATGGATGATTCAACAGGCTTCTTTTCGCGCAAGTAGAAGGCTCCCAGGTCGTGCTCGTCGGTCTCTTTTAGAATACTCGCAATCCTAGGAATACTCAGATTGAATATTCTCTGCTTTGGGACAGAAATATGATAGGGAAGGAGACTAGAGAATACCGTTACCTAAGAATCACCTTTAGTGGGAATGAAACTGAAGCCAAATAAGCAGATACTTTGAGCCTAGCAACAACTGTGCCTACTGATATTCGATTTGCCAAAGTGAACTGGCAGGTTTTTATTAGCCGACGCTTTCCCACCCCAAGTTCTTACTACATTCAAGCCCAGAACACCTCCTTCGGCGGAGTCACGTTTGTGATTTGATTTAAGTGTGATCGGTGGTGAATAAAACGAACTACTAGAAAAGGAAACGTATGTTTTGAACGAACGCAGTAATGTGTGGACCGATTTGTATCTTGGGCAAGTTTTAACAAATAATAAGTTGATGCAATATTTCTATTGTTCTAGATGCATACTTTAGGAGAGGAGCAGGAGAAGCGATTTGAACCCCGTGGGACACCAGAAGTCAAAATCTCCTGAAGCCGAGGAGAGTTTAAAACCATGACTTTCCCAAATCTGTACTGACTCCGGTCATCTCAAGCTATAGGATAAACTTCAACGCAATTAACCTGTTAGATCAAAGAGTGTAGAAGATCAGAGAGAAGGAGACAAACGAAGGAGTTACTATTTGGTGAAATTTGATTCTTCCAAGGTGGTTTCATGCACCACTTTACATTTACGAAATACAGGTAAACACATCATCAGTGTCGGAGTCGAAATGCTTTTTTTTACCACCTTGCCACAAATACCTAAGTTTTGGAAACAGTGCATAAAGTTCTCCGGCTTCACTGTCATATTCATTAATCAGTCAGGTCTAAAGCACAATGGTTCTCCCATTCTTTTGCAGACCAACAAATTTTAATTCACCTTGCTATTTTTTTTCTTATGCGCCTTTCGGAAAAACAACAAAATCAAACGACCCTTTGAAATTTGAAAAAGTGCTTCCAAGTCCACTGTGACTTCGTCTTGTCCACAACATCTGATAACGTCGAATCTTGTGGCCGAATTAGGTTTCCAGTACTAACTTGATTTGAATTTAGAACCAACTTCAAACTGCTTCAAAAGAGTAGTCCATTTAGTGAGTAATGAGAGCCTTCTCACTTGTAGTTGATTTCATCGTCTGGCATGTCCTCGCCGAGATTTGCAATGAAATTGTTTAGGTCCACCACGTTGCTGATAACTGCGGCTGCACCACCGCTTCCCTTGCAAAGAGAAAAGGTTTGGCACGGGAGGTTAATTTGAGTCAAAGATTATAACATTATTTGTAGCGCGAATAAAGTGATATTTCTGAAATAATTGAAGCCAAAAGCACATTGCTTCAAAGGCAGTTTTTGGAAATTGGTAGCTTGGACGCCAATTCATTGTTGCTCGGACAGCTATTGTGCTTTGAGCTTGGCATAAAACACATTGAAGGGTAAGCAGTTGGTAGTTAATGTGTTTGGACAAACCCTTCAACACTAAGCGCTAATTCATTACAAAGCAAAAGCACTTGAAACCTACCGGTTCAGGTTTCCTCATGATGGAAATGCTTAAAAGGCGATACCGTTTTTAATTATTTAAATAGTTATCAACTTAACAGTGTGTGGGATTGGTAGTTTTGATAGTTTTTTTGGTAGTTTTAAATCTGCACAAAAGTACTTTACAAAGTTTTCACTTTTGTCTTTTAAAACGACTGCCAATGAATATGTAGAAATTACATTTTACTATGTGGCCATAAGCTTTCGCAACCGTTAGGACGGTGTTGAGCACCAGAAAGTAGAGTCCGAGGTAATTGTCCGTGAGGATCATAGACGCATTGCAAATGGATGCACAGGATAATGCGGTGTGGTGAGAGCACACGAGGTTACAAGCACATAGTCTTACCCTAATGACGACAAATGGGCAGTGGTTTGTCGACATTGAAGCATAAACCTGGTGCAGACTCCATCGGTCACCCCCTGCCAGGATTCCACAAATTGGAATTTGTAGCGCAACAGACTCCTTCCCCGACACCTTTGTAGTCGTCTTCGGCAATACCGACGTTGCTGGAGAAGGTGGTATGCTTTTTGAAGGCCGACTCTGCAAAAGAATGAAAATATGCCCCTACCGCGTAAATATAATCTTCTTCGAGTCAACAGCAGAAATGCAAATTACGGGCTGTTATGTAGAATGAAATGTTAATATCAACAATTACGCGGTAAAAGTATTCTGTAAAAGCATTTCAGTTATGAGAAAGACAATTTTGGTTTGGCAGATGTTTCCACTAAGATGTTGCCGTTTTGACCATAGAAATGTGGGAACGAAATAAATGTATAGAATACTTTCGCTGTAAAGGAGTGATAAAAATTAGAATTAAATGGTTTGACGTCAGCTAAATACAATGTGAAATGCTAACAGACAGCACAGTAATGCGTGGGAAGTGAAAT